CGCAGGAACATCAAGAGGGGCAGCTCTCATGAAGGCTTTAGTTTCGGTGTCCTCTTTTGAGCGCCGTTCTACACGTTTTACGAGTGAAGGTCTGAACATGGGGCAGAATGCAAAGAATCCCATGAGTTGGGGCAAAGGCTGAGGTCGAGGTTGGAGGGTTGGGGGGTGGGCTTATTCCATTCCCTTTCGGTCCGCCCGCGCCAGGCCATCCCATCTTCTTCCTGCCAGTTTTCCTGTTGAACTGGCTGCAGCCGAGCTTGACGAAGGCCGGATGGATCCATTTTTGGGATTCCGCATGGAACGTGGCAGAAGGCCACATGATCTTTGGAGCACTTCCCCACGCTCCACGTGTGAGGGGTGCTTGCATGCTAGCTGGTAGTTGCTACCTCACTGATGATTCGGTCGGTGAATCATTGTATTTCACCTGAAACTATCTTCTGTTGCACTCCCATCAATCCTGGAAGTGCACAGACCCCTTTGGAAGAATACTTTTCTGTTGGAACGGGCACTCTGTTTGCCTACACGCTGTTTCATGGAAACCAGCCACCGGAACAGGACATTGGCCAAACACCTACAGCCAGGATTTCCTGTAGAATGTCCTGTGGCTTCTTCAATTATAGTATGCTGCTTGCCCGTGTTTGCCTTTTTGTGTGCGAAGTACTTGTTTCTTGGACCGTCTCCTTGGGCTCGTCTCCTTGGAGAGCTGAAGTTCTGAAGTTCCGCCAAGGCCTTTCTGCAGATGGCTCTCGTCTCCAAGGATCCTGAGCTGGTGCTGCAGGAAGAGCAAGCCTGCAACGCCAACCCCATGTACATGTCCGGAGCTCGGCGGTTTTGTCCGCCTTACCGCCTTCAGTGCTCTTCCAGTTTCTGTACACGCTCGCACTGCGCATGCCTGCCAAATGATAACCACACCCACTCAAGAGCTTGCGCTCAGCACTGCACACATGACTGCCAAGTGGTAGGCACACTCTCTCAGTCAAGAGACCGCACTGAGCACTGCGCGCATTCCTGACAAATGACAAGCTCACACGCTCAAGAGCGTACGCTCAAGAGCACATGCCTGCCAAGTTGTAAGCACACCTGCTGAAGAGCGCACGCTCACCAAATGATAAGCATGCCAGCTCAAGAGCGCACGCTTTGCAAACGCACGCGCTCAAGAGCACACACTCAGCACTGCACGCCCATCAATGAGAAGCACACCTGCTCAAGAGCACATGCTCAGCACAGCACACGTGCCTGCCGAATCGTAGCGCACCTGCTCAACATGGAGGTCAAATGAGAAGCGCACCCGCTCAAGAGCACACGTTCAGCACTGCACGTACGCCCGCCGAATGATACGCACCCTCCCAATAGCACACGAACTCCACAAGATACAAAAAGTATACTTACAGAATGTCGCATATCGTCTGACATGATGAAGCAAACATGCGGGTCAGCGCCAGTCCGGCGCGACCTGGCAACATGTTTTTTCCAGGAGAGGTGGGGAAAAGCGCTCATGGTTGGTTTCCTCAAGGCTTCTCTTTCAACACCCTTCAAAGCAGCACTCCGGACTGATGCAGCGCCCAAGTGAGCTGAACCTTATGCGATTGTTGTTTGCCACCTGTTGTTCTGCATGGCGTATCTTACGTGGAAGCTTTGAGCAGTCCTGGAATAGTCAAGTTCGTTTAGAAAAGACATAGGTAAAGAGAACCCCACTCGGCTGATCCTGTCTCTGTTCACATGAGGCCTTCGGAAGAGGCTTGTACATCCAGCCTTTGAGCTATGATTCAGTCTTTCACCCAACGAAATAAATGGCGTATTATTGAGTTGGCATCCGCCATATTGTTGGCTGGTATTTACAGGGGAATCTTCATTCCAGGGTTTCTTAGGTAGCGCGAAATGGATTTTGTCCATCCACTGGCATTTGCCGGTTCTCTTCGCCCAACTTAGGTGCAAGGCCTACTACCGCCAGGTGCGCAACGCCAGCGACGAGGAGTTCGCGGCATGCCAACTGCCAGCGCTGCTGATCCGAGGCCCGGTTCAACCTGTGCCCAGTTTAGGGTCACTGGAGCCCCGGTGGGCTGTCCGGAAGGGGGAACCCCCCCAAACAAGACACGAATTTTGAAGGGTCTGATTCTCAAGAACGGTTGGAGATGGAGCACAAATAACTTCATATAACATATGTTGCAGTCTGTCACCAAAGGCAAGGAGTTTCTTAGCCGCCATGTATCACAGGCGCTACCTCGCGTTTGCCACAGGTACCTCATGCGTGCCTTTGGCGTTGGTTGGCTGAACAAAGTGGAAGTGCCAAAGATGATGTGCTTGGGGTATTTCTGCCGGCCGTCTGTGGAGTGAGCCAACAGGCCACATGTGTCAAGCCATGGACCACTGTAATTGGCTGGTGTTGTAGTTCATGTTGGTTGGCAAAAGGGGTCTCTTGCTGCTCTCGCCATAGCGATCCACAACCGCAACATGTTCAAGCCTCACCAAGCCAGACCAGAAAAAGGTAATCATTCTACCTCAGCATTCAAAACCCACAAAACCCATTAAACAACACACGTAGCACCTGCACGAAAGAAACCCACACGACACATGCAACACATAGCACACACCCTACAAAAACCAATCCAACAAAGCCAGCAATCCCGAAACACATAAGAACAGAACGCGCGAAGAAAGCACACCATCAAAACACATTTTTTTTTGGAGGGACCCCCCCAGTTTGTGTTCTTGTATCACAAAAGGGATGTCGGTTCTCTGTTTGGTGTCCCTTACCCAGTGATTCCAGTTGCCACTAGGTAACCAAAGGAACCCTTTAAAAACCAACAGGAAAATGGCTGGTTACCCATTCTAGTCGGGAAGTGTTCCCTGAAAGCCACCCTCTAAAAACCGAAGGAAAAGGGCTGCCCAAGAGTCTAGTTGGGATCCACTGGGTTCGCCACAAAATCTTGATGGCTCCCAGCCATCCGGTTCCTTAGCCTTTTAGCTTTTTAGTGTTTAGTGGTAGTTTCCATTTAACCCACTAAGAAAACTTTTAGCGGGGCATCTGAGGGGGGGGGTTAGCAGATCTGCTCGTCCCAGGCGCTGGGGACGGCATCGTCTCCGCCTCAAGCGCGGAGGCGGCGGCCGGCGCTTTGCCAGCGGCGCGGCTGGCGCCGGTGGCGAGTGCGGGGCACGCCCCCATGCTCGAGGCCGAGACGCAACCGAAATCGGCTCCATCTCCTTTTCTCACTCCCTGGGTTCGTGGGCTTTGAACTTTCTGAGACACGGCCAGGGCCACATAGCAGGGAAGAGCTGCGATTTTCACTGGCAGTTCCTCCATTGCACTTTTGGAGGTCCGAAAAAGGGAACTTGAGGGACCCCTGAAGAATGCTCACTCCCTATATTCATGGGCTTCAAGCTTTTTGGGAAGACCGTCTTAGTGGCAAACAAACACTTTGGACTTGTTTTGGCCCATTAACTCAGCAAGTGACCTTTGCAGGCGACCTTCAGAAGCGGCCGAGTAAGTAAGCTGCAACGGTGACCGCGGATTTCTTGAGGTACCCTTCTCAGGCAGATTTGACGGGAAACCAAGAAGGAAGCAGGATGAACCATGGAACTCAAATTTCAGATCGCTATCAACGCTGCTTTGGGTGAACTTGGGGGGTCGTGTGAATCGGGAGCCCCGGTTTCCCTGCAAGAGCAACCCTTTTTGGGGGGCACTCTGAACAAACACTAGCCCTGTTATCCCGCTGTTTGATTGGTTTCGAGATATATGGCAACATTGCAACATGGAGTGTTGTAGGGCGCAAGCAAAGGCTTGGGGCTGGCCATACTCTTGCGGAGAAGTGCAAGTCGTGTTCTTGCTCGCTCTTGACCTTTCAAGTGTTTGGCCAAAAGGCTGAATCGGCACAACCTGCGAGATGTGAACAGATATGACTAACTATGTTGTATCATGTGAGTCCTGAATTGAGCTGATGGCAGTTGTGTAAACCTTGCCAATTTTTCTAGGACCCAGTCATGCCATGGTTGGATGCGGGTAAGTCAACCAGCTTCCAGCACTTCTTTTTGGTGTGTGTGTTTTTTGTGGTCCTCCCGAAAAATCGTTGGTTTCCTGTTGGCTTCCGGATAAACACATCCAAAAGGGGGCAGTGGCCCCTGGTCCTCGCATTCTCCGAGGCTCCCGGCAAAGTGGCCGAGCCTTGGCACAGCATCCAGCATCCATGCCACGCGGTTGGGTTGAATCGAAAAATTATGCCTGGTACCCTTCCTCAAACCGAAGGCACCTTCTCAGGCCTTTGAAGTGGGAGGGAGGGTTCTACCAGTGACGCGGCACTGGGTACTTGGGCTGGTCTACACGATTTCTGCAGTTACCCGGCACCACCCCGGAAGATCAGTTCCCTTTTTCTGTGGAGTTCGTCCATCGAAATGGATTTCGAGTTGAGGGCGAAGGGCCACGTATCAACGTGAATCTGGGAACCATGCCACGAAAAGAGTCTGAAGCCTCGGCCATGTGGGAGAGGAGAAGGGACATGGGCGGTGGTGTTCCCCGCCATTCGGCATGTGACCTGCGCTAAGGAGTTGATCGATGAGTTCATACAGTCAGTGACCAAAAGCTGACGGCGAACCAAAACCTGCTGAGTTCCAGCTGCGAAGGGAATTCCCCCCAAGCGTCAAGATCCCAAGGGAAGCAGACCATGGGCACCAAAACACAGCTTGCAATGCGTGTGGTCCGAATTCGTTTCCCGAAGAAAATGCAAGCCTCACTTCCTGAGTTCCTGGACTTTGTATTTTTGGGGAAGACAATTTTAGTCGCAAACAAAAAGTTGGGAAATTTCTCGGCCAATCCAATCAGGAGGCGAGAAGCCGCCAAGCGGGCCAACGTCAAGAGGTTTGCCGAGTTGCCCAGCGCCACCGCTTTCCCATTTTTTTGGGGAGGGGGGGGGGCTTCCCTCAAGCACAGAATAGTGCTACAGGAACTTCTAGAAATTAGATTTGCTTCACGCCGACTGACACGCGATCGATGGTTGGCCCGGCGCCAGGCAGAGAAGCGGCCAGGCCGGCGGTCGGTTGGGCGCCGAATGCCAACTCCACCTGGCCACTTGGGGTGGAAGCCTTTTCTTTTTGGCGTGGGTTCACTAGTTGTTCCATCTCACTGGTTGAGACACAAGTTTTGTTTTTGCTGGTTATGCCGAACTGGACATGTGGCTCAGAGCCAAGCATGCGGATATCCGGCCGGCTCGATTCCTTTTGTTCATGGTAACCTGGTTTTGACCATGGCTCACCTGACAAAGGAGCCCTTTGTTGTTCACTTCGTTTGGCACCCAGCATCCAGCAGATGATGCAATGAATGCTGGAGTCCTCTCTTGGCATTGGGTCACTAGGGCTACAACTGGTTTTGACACATAGCTTCCCATGGCATGGCACTGAGTGTTTTGGTCCAGGGCTCCTTCTAGTTGGTTTAGAGGGCCCCCCTGGTGTGTTAGCGGTTGCAAGTTTGGGGAGCTTGACTAGCGGCCCTTTTGACTGAAGAGGGGCCCCTCAGAATGGCTGGACAAAAAATCCATGGCACTTGTAGAAATGTTTGGCCACAGGTCCATTTCCAGCTGTGTTCTTCCGCGTGGATCTTCCATTGGCGTTTCCAGTTGTTTTTTTTTTGTTTTTTTGTTTTCTTGTTTCCCCGCATGTCCATTTTCCGGCCACAGTTCCATGTTCCTATTTCTGGTGAACCCATTTCCAGTGGTTTTCTTTTGGCCGCAATCTTCCGGGTGACTCCGAGAAGGGGCCGACCGAAACCCGGCGACGCCGGGGCGAAACCGCGCGTCTGCCGCGAGGCGCAGAAGCACAGGGGCCTCCAGGCACCTTCTTCGCCAAAAGCGGGGGACGCCCAGTTGCGAGCGCGCTGGTGAAGAAAATCGGTGTCCAAAATGGGTCCCAAAATGGGTGTGTGTGGTTAAAGACTAGGTGTGGGGGAAAAAGACAGTGGATGGTTGCGAAATCCATTTCGCACCATGTCGCACCACCTAAGAAATCATGGTTGAACCCATTGTTTTGTGGGTATTTACACGGGAATCATCATTCCAGGGATTCTGAGGTGGTGCAGGGGTCCCGCAATGGGTCCCAAAATGGGTCCTGTGTGTGGGTCAGAAATAGGTCCCCAAAATGGAGCCCTGGAAAATGGAAACTTTCAATGGTGGTTCAATGTTGACCCATACCCACCTTTCTTCGCCTGTTGGGTTCCTCTTTGGTCCGGTTCGCCAGTCAATGTCAGGGCGGATTTTTGTTCGGTTTCTTGGGGGGAGTTAATTACCGGCTTTTCCTCATTCCAAGTGAGCAGCCGGAACTCTCAGTGGTTGCGCGTGGGCAGAGAGTGTCGCGAGTGGACGGCTTCAGGCGAAACCTACAGGCGCGCGTCGGGTCTGCCACCTGCAGAGAGTTACCTAGGAGAAGGAGGTGACTTAGTGTTTGCGACAGTCAAAAGGAATTGTCGGGCGTTGATTAAAAGGTCCTTTACATGGGGGGACCATTGGGGAAACCCATGGTCATTTGGGGGCCAAGAGGATTGATCAAGCCCCATCTATTGTGTAGGCCTTCTCTCTCTACGACGCCGGCGACCAACTCACCGCTTCTCGGCACTGTGTACGGGAGCCCAGCACAGAGCTAAATTCCGACGCCACATGACCATGCGGCCCTGAAAGGCAAGGGACCCTCCCTTTGCCTCTCTCGTTTCCTGATCTCCATGTAGTGCAGTACCTGGGTTGCTCGTCCTGTTTTTGAGAGTGCCACCATGATCTGTTCGTAAAATCAAAAACACCAATCAGGCTGTTTCTGTTATTTTTGTTTTTTTTGGGGGGGGATTCGCTACAAAAGGCACACCCAATTTTAATGGCCCAGAACAAAGCAGGCGGTGCACTGATAACATCGGCGGTTTCCGCAAAAACATGCGGACCGTCAGCGTGAGGTGGCTTGTCCGCGACAGGTTCCAGGACACGAACCTAGCTTCAAGCATTTGTTCGGCTTGACAGACATTCCTTTGGGGTGTCAGCATCTATGATTTCTTGAGGGAATTATTCCATAGGACCTTTGTTTTTTGAACCTGGCCATGTTCACAGCTTGGCAGGGATCAACTAACCAGAGTGGTTGCTACTTTGGGCAAGGGGTCCCCGTCTTCGATTTTCGGACAAGCCTTGGCGTGAAGTTGTTCCGAGGCCATCATCCAACGGATCACTGCCGCGACTGCTGGGGAGCGGCCTGGGGGGGAGCCAACTGTCACGGCACCGATCAGCAGATGAGCTCACCCATGAACGGTGCTTAGGGGGGGTTCGCTGGCTCTGGTTGGGGAATTATGGGAACTTGCCAAGAACCACTTGAGCCACAATCAAAAACCGGCACAAACGGATCCCATTCTGTGATGCCACAGTGAGCTTCTTATTGTACTCATTTGGCAAGAAGTGTTCCTTCTAAGTCTTTGTCCAAGCAGGTATTTTGTTGGCAAGTACATAGGTGTCCTTTTTCGGTTTGCTTGGTCGGAATAGAAGGCGATCTGTGGTTGACCTGGCTTTTTCACAATCTACCAGAGAAATCCATCTAATTTCAACCAAAAGGACACTTATGGTCGAGTATATTTGTTTGTCTGTTGGACGGCCTTGCCCGGTCTCTGTCTCTGCACATGTTTGGGCTCAAGCCATGTGCATGCTGTTTGTGCTGCCTTTATGCGACGGCATCGTCTGAAAACTTCGCATTCAGAGAGTTCGGCCAAGACCTGGGAAATTCATCACCACTCGCGCATGGGTATTTGGCCGTGGGTCAACACCAATCGGATCCCATTTTGGGGATTGGGTGCACCACCTTTTTTAGAACCTATTCTAGTGGTTGGATTGGGATGTTCACTGGGGGTACGATTTGGGTTTTGACCCATAGCCATTTGAAGACAAGCAGCTCCGCGATGGTGGCCTTCGTGATTGCTGGCAAGGCGGGCTGCCTTGGAACATGGGCTCGCAAATTTCATCCTGTTTTGGCGAGGCCAATGATCCCTCCTTTGCCCGCGTGGAGTATGCGGCCAAGCAGGTTCAGGCATGGGTCATTATGAGATATTATGAGTTTGCCGATGTTGACTCAGAAGTCTTGAAGTCCTGGTTGATATGTCTTATGGGTGTTCTCTAAGATCCGTTTCTTTTGGAGGAAACATGTCCCATGAATCTGCCACTGCTATGGTTGGACGGATTGCCCTGCGTCAGCCTAACCCAATAGGCGCTTTCCTCTGCACGGAAGATTGCTCGGCGGCAGTTTGCGACCCCTGGCAGCAACCAGCCCCTGGCTCCCTTAACAAAACTCAAAGTTTGAACTGTGGTTGAAACAAAAACCCAGTGCCCAGTCAGGAAGGTTTTTGGGGTTCGAACCCAGCTTGAACCCATGATCCTTGTCATTTTCTTCTAGGACCATGATTTCAACCCACGTTTGTACAAACTTGTTCACTTTAGTTTGGGAGTGGTGGAGTGAACTCCATGGTTTCCTCCAGAGGGTCAAAGGAGGTGTTGCTGTGTTCTTCAGAAAGTCCTGGTTTGAGTCAGTGAGAGGCGATGGTGCCCAATATTTTCGTTCAGCTGGAGATGAAGCATCCAGACCACTGGCGGAGCTTCCTGGTGAAGGTGTGTCGACTGCCGGGTGGCCAAAGCTGTCGGCCGGGTGCTGGGGTACCCCCCTGTTTGGCTCACTTGCCCAAAGCGAATCGACCTTTTGACCGTTTGGCTTCCCATGTTTGGACCGCAGGATTGTAGTCTACTTGTCCATTTACCAGAGTTCCATTTGGGGCCCTAGTTCGAGCCACGCCCGTTTCGAGACATACCCATGGCGATTGGTCTTTTTTTCACAAGAAAGATGGGTCTGTAGGAAGCTGGAAGCCCAATGCAGGTTGCATCTGGTAGTTGGGGTGAAACGGAAACGCCCTGCCTGCAAGCGTGTCATTTGACACTTGCAGTTGAATCAGATTGTTAACCCTATGTGGGGGTTTTAGTCAACTGCTAGGGTTCTCATAGTATCCCAACTTCCTAACAGGGAACCTGATGGCCCCTTTCAGGTTAATTAAAGTGGCCCGGGTCCGACCATCACTGGGCTGGCTTGCCCCGCTGACCTTCTGCAAAGTCCACCACATTACGGCGTTGTGTGTTAGCGTTAAGTTACAGCTTTGTATAACTCAGGTCTCAGTTTGATGGAGTTGAAGCCACATATACACATACACATATATGTTATGTGGTACATGACATTGTCTAAGGTATCTAGTATCATGCATTCTCCGTTGGCATTTAATTAACTGATCGGCATCGCCTTTTCAACAGGCGGCACGAACGTCAAGCATGAAAAAAGCACCACGACGTCCATCCGAGGTACGACTTCTCCGACTATCCGGAAGACTACGCGGGGCCACTGGACCGGCCCCCAGAGCCCCGGACGGTTTTTGGGTTGACGACCGCTTGAAGGCCGGAAAGAGATTGTGAGGACGGACTGCCGTTGGACCCGTGTGGTAGACGGTTTAAGGATCCTACGGAAACCACACAAGGGTCCTTCAAGCAAGGTCTGCGCGGATGTTGCGAGCTTCCAGGGCGAAATGGACGATTCTGGTCCCTGTGATGGTGCTCAGGGATTCCTGAATTTTTGTGAATCAACACCAGTAGTACGGATAGATGCCAGCAAAGTCATACCAAAAAGCGCAAAATTCGCATTTTGCCCCGACAAGACCCGCAGGCTAGGTTGTCAAGTATGGGTGTGGGACCGGTGACGGTCCCCGAGTCGCTGAGCGTTGCAGTTGAGCGCCCAAGCCTTGAGGGAATTTCGGCTGGTTGAACTGGGATATGTGGCTGTTGTCAAAACCGTTATGGTTGATCCCATTTTGGGGATTGGGTGAATTCACCACCCATTTTAGGTTTCCTATTTTAGTGGTTGGATTGGGACGTTCACTGGGGGTGCGATTTGGATTTTGACCCGTGGCCATGTGGGTGTGGCTCACAGCAGAAGAAGAGCTGAGGCAAAAAAAAAAAAGGTTGTTTAGTCTTTGTGTCCACTTAAGGTGCAATTTTGGGGGTGCATGTTTAGCCACAGCTGAAAGCCGATGCAAGCCTGATCCCCGTTTGGGTGAAACTGTCAGCTCCGAGGTCTGGACACTGGAGGCTCGCGAGAGTGAAGTGGACACGGACTCACTTGCCCCAGCCGTCAAGAGACGGGAAAAGGGAATGGTCGGGGTGATCCCCCCATGTTCTCACTGCCGGAGTTGGACTTCATCAGACTTTTGGGGGGCCATTTTGGTGAACAAGTAGATTTGGTTACTGCTTTTTCTCACAAGCCCACCAAGTGAGACCAGGTTTTGGGAATTTCTCTATCCCTCTTGGTTTCCTTTGAGCCGCTTTTTCCCGCGGGAAGACTCCTTTGCCTTTAGCGTCTCGAGCACGGAAGCCCTCGAGCTGGCCCAGGGCGAGCTCGTGGGCGGCGGCGCCGAGTTCATCCAGCAGATCTGCGTCGAGCAGTTCGGCATCCAGGACAGGGGTGGTACGTTTTTGGGTGTCAGTCTTTTTCAGCTTCTAAGGGGAAACCCAAAGCAACATGGTAAACTAGCTCCACCCACCACGAGCAGGGGTATTGGTCTGTAGGTGGCAGAGGTGTCCTTGTCATCGCTTGGCAGAAAATGGCCTTGGATTGGTCTCATTTACCAAGGACTATGGTCCGAAGGGGACTCCGGGGAATTCAACTGGGGGAGTCCTGAAGACAGGGAGTCTAGAGCCATTTTCAGAGAGCCCAAATCAGGTGTTTTCCCACCGGAAAGGGGGGTTGTACCCAAGCAAACCCCGAACTGGATGAACCCTTGAGAACCCAAAAGGGCAAAGACGGATTTCTGCCACTCCAATGACTGCTGGGCCAGCTCTCGGGGCTTTGGACAAGAGAAAAAGTAGTCGTTGGGGGGGGGGTGCTGAGCAGAGTATGGCCGAGCGGAGGGGTATTCAGGCGCCTTGTCCAAATGGTTGCGACAAGGTGCCAGAATGCTTGCAAGGCAACTTGCAAGCGTCGGTTTGTGCAATGGTTGATCATCGCAGCCGGGACTGCAGCAAAGATGACTTCTGGCGGCAATGAAGGCAAATGAAACACGAGTCAACAGGACTCACACTGAATGGTCAGTGGCATTCAGTGGCGATACCTGCAAGCCAGCACTTGTTTGTCTTTTTTTTGCATTTATCATATTGCATTCAATACAATTTGCGAGTATTGTTTGTTATTACTCCGTACAAATTATCAATGTTTGTCAATCTCATTGATATCTAATGTACAGTACATGAACTGCTTTGCGTCCACCACCCAGGCATTTTCAGTGCTCCTTGCTGAGTACCTGTGTGAAGCCCCAGGATCCTCCGCCGATCACGGACCCGATCTTCAAGATGATCGCCGCCGAGAACCTTGAGCAGGCGAACCCAAAATTCACCGGTGGCAATCACAGGTATGGGGGGCTCGCGTGTTTTAGGTTGGACCCCCAGAATGGATTTTGTGTTTTCATTGGGTTTTCCCTTCAAGACCACCGAAAAGGATATCCTCAAAGAAAGACAGACTATCGGAAGGTGGGGAGGATTTCTAGCTGTGAGGCAAAAGAAGGCTTGCAGTGGTTCAGGTTGGGGCAAACTGTGCATGAAGCATGTTTGTAAGGGTCCACAGCTGTGCATTTGCGTGTGTATGAAGCAGACTCTTCAGGGACCATCAACATCCAACTAGGGATCCCCCGCCCATCAAGGAGTCACAACAGCTTGGTCTGATCAGTGACTTACTGCTGCTCGTTAAGTCAGCAACTCGATTGCCAGGGCTGGTCATTACTTCTGCCGGCTTTGACAAGTGGAAAGGTGTCCATTCGAGCCATGACCATATACGAGCTACACTTGAGGAGTTTTGGCGACACACGTTGCGGCGACAAAACAATGGCCACGGAAGCATTAAGGATCGGATCTTGTGGATGTCCGTTCAGGGGTCCATATATCTTCGGAAGCATCACTTCTTGTGGGGTGATACTCAAGAGCATTGAGACTTCCGCGGTCCCTCGCTAGGCGCCATGCTGCGGATGACAAAGTCTTGCTGCAATTGGGATAGATGAAGCCCTACGCCTTTGAGAAACTGCTAGTCAACTGGTGCCGATAGGCGTGGATTTTGCCACAGTTGTTCACTTGCTTCTTCCTTCTTTTCTTTTTTTTGGGGGGGGGTTGAGGGCAATGTTGCA